ACAGCGTCAATCAGAGTCGGTTAATGGCACAGCTGACAACAGTGGAGATGAAACCCGGCGAAAAGTGAATGGCATATATCAGCCGTTGCCGCGAGTTGCGCGACAAACTCCTTCGATGCGGAGGATCGATATCTAAAGAAGCCTTTGTCACAGTTGTCATCACTGGTCTTGGTCCTCATTGGTGCTCCACTCGAGCTATTCTCCGAGCTCACGGGAAGATCTCCGAAGCGGCACTCTGCGCCGAAATTCACGCCGAACAACAAGACATGGACCTGCACGAGGAACGACACAAGAGAAAGACATCAGTACCAGAATTCGAATTCCACACGCAACGGGTCTTCAACAACTCCAACCGACAAAACAAACAACAACAGCAGCAGCACGTACCGCCGTTCTGTCATCTCTGCAAGACGTCTGGACATCCCCGTACACACTGCCCAAGTCTGCGACAGACAACACCACCGCAATGACAACTTCGGCCTTCAAGCAGTCAAGTCACCTCAACACAAGCGCATCCCATTCCCCAAGCTCAAGGAACGCCGACATCTCAACCTGCACAAGGGACAAGAAACATCGTGAGCTGCATGGCGAGACTGTCAGACTCCTGCATCACTGAGTCACCACCATACTACTCACCAGAAGAACAACTTGACGAAAGCACTCCTCGCCACGAGACACTGGAGCCGAACCCGACATACGCAGCCATCGCCCAGAGTGAGCCGTCCGGGAAAGACACCTGGTTCTTGGACAGCTGCTGCGGACAGCATATGTGCTCCTCGGGTCGCTTCGTTCAACGCGAACATCAACTCTAGCGCGAAGTCGTCATCACCGTTGCCAACAATCAAAACCTGCGCACACGACGGCAAGGAATTGTTCAACTTCAGTCAAGAGAAACAAACGTGATACTACAGATGTCAAAGGTCTTAATCGCGGAGGGACTCGGCTACAACTTACTGAGTGTCAGTCAGCTGATGGCGAAAGGCATTCATCTCGAAGCAGACAGCACCACCCAAGAGTTCAAGTTGTATCACGGGAAAGGCGGACTCTATATCGGAAAGGCAGTGTTGAAGAACAACGTCTTCGTCCTCGACTTCGTTCCAGATCTTGGCACCGCCGACAGCGATGGAATTGTGACCTTCACTTCCTGGACACATCCCCCGGATCTTGATCCCGACTTCAGTCCGGGCGGCTTCTGGTATTCACACACCATACCCGAAACAGAAAGAACAAGAGCGTTAGCAACAATTCAATCGGCAGCAGCAGAGACAACATCGGCAGCAGCAGAGACAACATCGGCAGCAGCAGAGACAACATCGGCAGCAGCAGAGACAACATCGGCAGCAGCAGAGACAACATTGGCACCAGTCTTCGTCGACGACACTCCTCCGAATCCTGCGCAGCAGCTGACACCCACTCCACGGGAAGTCCACAGAAGCGCCAACCTCACCGCCAATTTTTACTCCAACTCCGACCTGTACAGACGCTCACTCGGACATCGCGCTGACGAAGACCTCTGGCATAAACGAATGGGACATCCGAGCAACACGACGTTAAACAACACGATACGAGCAGGCGTTCTTGATAAAGACTCACTACTCTTACCCGACGGCAGAGAACTTCGACGAGTTAGAGGAACTTGCTGCACCTGCCCAGAAGCAGCCGCATCAGCCCTTCGTCTCTCACCACAACCCAAGTGCACCGGCGTACGCACCTTTGGAGAAGGTCTACAGCGATATACTGTACAATCGCGAACCCGGTCAAGCAGTGTATAACTGCGTTATCACCTTCATCGACGCCGCCACGCGATACGTCTGGCATCTCAACCTTCCGAGTCGCGACATGGCTTTCGAAGCCTTCGTCGCATGGCTTCCAGTAGCAGAACGAGAATCAGGCGTAAAGCTAAAGAGCTTCCAGTCAGACGGAGCAGGGGAATATACGTCACAGCAGTTCAAAGACTACCTGGCAGAACGAGGAATCAAGCGCCTCATCTCCCTTCCCTACGCCCATCAACAGCAGGGTGTAGCAGAAAGAATGAACAGGACCCTTCAGAACACCATGCGCAAGCTGCTACGTGGCATGCGGCTACCCAACCACCAGTGGCCCGAAGCGATGGACCATGCTGTCCTATTGCACAACTTGCTTTCGTCATCATCGCTCCCGAACAACGCATCACCGCATCTGCTGTGGACAGGGAAATTGGGCAGCACAAAAATGTTGCAAGTTTTCGACTGCATGGTACAGTACCGACCCCCAGCTGCACGCGCCGGCCGATTCTCCCAACGCGCACAGTGGGGACTACACCTGGGCATCGAAAAACATTACAACGCATGGAAGATTTTCGACATCAACACAAATGAAACAGTGGCAGCACGTGATGTTATCTTCTACGAACGCCTCACCCTTTCAACGTACCTGTACAACTTGGAAACTTCACGAGATGTCACAGGAGGGTTTCGTGGGGACCGAGCCTTTGCTTCGGCAGCAGATGAAGCTGACTGGGATGAACAGAACGTGGACAGAGCTTCGGAGGAAGCCGGACCTCTCCCTTACGAGTAAACACCAACGACGCAGAACGCATCGGACCTAATTTCATACCTGACCCAGAAGCCGGAGACGAAGCCGTCTATCCCGAGGATACAACACTTCCCCGCTACACACAGAGCGGACTGCAGATACTTGGCCTCGTCACCGCAGTCCACGGCTCGGCGCCACCTAAGGAGCCTGCCACAGTTCAGCAGGCTCTGGGGGGGGAACACAGGGAAAAGTGGCGCGAAGCCATGGACAGGGAGTTGAAGGCACTGGAAGAACGCAACACCTGGAAGGTTGTTCCCATCGGCGTGGCACGCAACAAGACGATCCTTACCGGAAAATGGGTTTTCCGTGTGAAAAACAAAGCAGACGGCACCATTGACAAGTTCAAGGCGCGCTGGGTCGTACGCGGCTTCGACCAAGAGCACGGACGGGACTTCACCGAAACATTTGCGCCAGTTAGCCGACACACCTCTCTGCGGATTCTCCTCGCGATAGCCGCCATGAAGAAGAAGAAGCTACGTCAAATCGATGTAGCCAACGCCTTCCTCTACGCACCTGTTGACGCCGAAATCTTCGTCGAGCTACCACACGGCTCCTACGGAGACCCTAACCAAGTCTGCCAACTACTGAAATCTCTATACGGCATCAAGCAGGCTCCGAGACTGTGGCAGCAATATCTACACGCTCGACTCATCCGCATCGGATTCCGCCAACTACCACACGACCAGGGCATGTACCGACTCACGAAGGGCACTGACTACATTCTACTCATCGTCTACGTAGACGATCTCCTCTACATCGGCTCGACCGACGATGTTACAACCTGGTTCGAAGGGGAGCTGCAACAGGACCTCACACTCACCGTCTCATCTATCGTAACGCAATACCTCGGGCTCAATATTCAGGAGGAGGAAAACGCAATCTACCTCAGCGCCGCAAAATACGCTGACACCATCGCCAAACGCTTCGGACTCACCCCGACCGCTATTTCCACGCCATATCGCTACACCGTCGGAAATCACAAGGAAGGCTCCGCTCTGCTCAAGCCCGCCGGCATACGCGATTACCAATGAAAGCTAGGATGCCTCCTCTTCGCAGCATTCAGCTGCCGACCGGATTTATCGTACTCCGCAAGCCAACTCGCCACCTATCTCAAGAAACCCGAAGCAGAACACATGGCGGAGCTCGATCGCGCACTGCACTACCTCGTCAGCACCTCGACGATCGAACTAACCTACTACAGGACTGGAACTACGGCGCCTAAACTAATCGGCTACGTCGACGCTGATCACGCCGGCGACTCTGACAACACGCGCTCGCGCACCGGCTACATCTACCGACTCGAGCCTATCGGGCCCATCTCTTGGCAGTCGAGCAAGCAGGAACTGATTGCTCTCTCCTCAGCTGAAGCAGAATATATCGCACTCTGCTCAGCCACCAAGGAAGGACTGTACCTTCGCGAACTGCTGGAAGAAGCAAAGCTGGCGCAGTTACCCAGCTTCTCCCTGTTCTGCGACAACCAGTCTGCAATCCGCATAGCCAACAAGAACGGATTCGTGAACAGAACGAAGCACATCGCCCTGCGATATTTCTTCGTAAAGGACGAGATCGAGAAGGGGAGACTCGAGCTGTCCTACTGCCCCACGTCTGAGATGGCAGCTGACTACTTGACCAAGAAACTCAGAAAGCAGAAGTTCGAGTACTGCATGCTGCTGACTGGACAAAGCCACGTCACCAGCAACGACACTCCAGAAGCGAAGGGGAGTGTTGGAAACAAGTAATTTAAGCGCTTCTGTTGTGTGTCGAAACACTAAGTCGTAAACGAAGCGAAGCACAACGAAGCATCGGCGAGTCAACCTTTGGAGGTTGAGAAGAAAAGCAACTGCTGGAGGTTACGCGAAAGTCAAAGGTCAGCGACCTTTGACCTGACAATACAGCGCGACAGCAAGGACAAACAACTAACTCGCTATTGAGCAGTTGCCCGAGTCGTCACTGTATCGAACCGCAACAGCAACAGTAAAACAGTTATTAGCTGTATCTCTTCGTATTCCTGGTACTCTTATAAGAACCTTGTACCTCTTTGTTTTAATCAATCTACTTTGCCCTCACATACCAGCGCAAGGTGGTTCAATACTTATCAAAACGCTCCCGCAACTACAACATTCCTACCCAGAGTCTAGCCCTGCAAAGATCCTAAGGGCTTTTCTCAGCCCAACAAAGAAGAAACACAGAGCATGTCTGATGCATCAGGCGGGTGAAAAATATAGGGAGAGCCCTGGTAACACCTGTTCCATGAGCCCCCTGAAACTTCACAAATGCAACCTACACCCCCTTATTCCTACTGCACATGGACAATGCTGCCTAGCCTACAGTAATGCAACGCGAGTGAGTGTATGGCATAGACTCAGTGATGTGCATGACGAGGCAAATACTATTGTCATAAGCCAGCATGAGAGCAAGAGGCAGGGTCAGAAGATGCTGGCGAACTCGCTGCCCTCCCAGCCCAGGCGCAGCATCTGATCCACCATCTTCACACTCAGCTGCACGGGGAGGGGGGAGAGTGGGGAAGGCGAGGGGTGCAATTGGGGGGAAAGAGAATGGGAGTGAGGTGGGGAGGGGATGGGGGTTAGTGGAAACGGGAGTAAGGGGTAAACAAGCACAAGTGTTGAGCTAGTAGTGGTACCAAGGAAGCTGTTGTGAGTGTTGATGTGTAAGAGGCCACTGCAGAGCAGAGTAGCTGCTAGAGGCGTACCAGGGGGTTGCTGTAGAGGATGAGTTGGCCGGGGGCGAGGTGAGCGGAGGTGGAGCAGAGCAGGTTGGTGTTGTCCGCTGAGAGCGCCAGCGCTGTCACGTCCGTGCCCTCTGGCAGCTTGAAGCGACACAGCGCCTGCGAGCATGGGCGATGGCACGCGCACGAGAGGGATTGGGGAATGGGGGTAGGTGCTAAGAAAAGATGCTTGTAAGGGGATGGGGCATACAGTTTAGAGTAGAGGTTTAAAGCCCAAGACCTGAATTGTTCAACACAAGTCAACGCGGGGCAAAACTGTGGGCTGCGGGAGGCAAACTGTGCACAGTTTGCCTTCGTTTTTTGTAATTCGGGTCTTGGGCTTTAAGAAGGCTTGTTAGGGGGATGGGAGAGAGTAGAGGCAGGCATGGGCGAGAGGCATTGGAATGCAGCTGGTGAAGGGTGGGATGAAGCGGCATGGCTGCAGGCGCAGCTTAAGGAGGAGCTGAGATGCACCTTGAGGGAGAAGAGGTCAAGAAGTGACACGGCTGATCCGCGCTCCTTCCGTGACCCCCCTTCGTCCGTGTTCCTCCAGTCCGGCAGTGCACCACCCTCCCCTGCTGCCGCCCCTCCACCCTCTCCCTCAACCTCCCCGCCCTCCCTCCTCTCGCCATCTCCCTCCCTCCTTTCCTTGCCTGAATTTCCCCCCTCGCCTTCCTCCCCTCCTCTTTCCCCCTCGTCCCGCTGCCCACGGCCCGCCTCCCCTTTCTCCCCTTCCAACTCCCCTTTTCCCTCGCCCTTCTCACCCCCACCATCCCTCCGGCGTCCCTCATCCTCTTGAAAGCTCCCAGCCTTCCCCAGCCCCACCTTCTCCCCGGCAATCACAGCAGCGCGCTCCCTCTCCTTCTGCCTTTCCTTCTCCCGCACATGCCGCCAGCGGCTGCAGTCCGTCCCCACGGCCACAAACAGCCCGTTGCTCGACACCTGCACGCTGCTCACATCGCCGTCCTCCTCCGAGATCCTCACCCCTGCCACCGCCGCTCCGTTGATCGTGAACGCTCGCAGCGCCCGCTGCCGCCGCTCCCACACCACCACCACCCCTTCCGGGGAGATGGCCAGCAGGTCCGCCGGCCCCACCCCCGGCAGGTGGCGCAGGAAGTGGCCCTTCATGAGGGAATGGAGGAGCACACCGCGGGAGCGGGAGGAGGAGGCAACGAGGTCGAGATCCGAGGACACGGCGCAGCAGAGGATGGTGTCTAAGTGGCCGCGCAGCACCTGCACGGGTCCTTCCATCCGCCTCCACTTCCTCGGTGCCTCCAGCCCCCCCCCCCCGCCCATGCCCCCTGCTGCGCTCAGCAGCAGTGCCGCGTCCGACATGCCACCCCCGCCTCCCCGCTCGGGGTAATCCGCTCCTCCTACGGCCATGCTGCCTGCTCGTTGCTCGCTAGCCGACACCGCTGCAGCGGCAGCAGCCAGAGCTGGGTCGTGCGGGCCCGTGGGTGCTGCAGTGCTGCGCCTGGCCACACGCCCCCCCGCCCCCGCGCCAGCAGCCACAAGGCCAGCCGTGACCCCGGCGGCAGGGGAGGAAGGGAAGGGCGCGGTGCCGTGGTTGACTCGCCACAGCAGCACCACACCATCCGTGGCGCCGGTGGCGAGAGTGGCGCCATCAGGGGAGAGAGCCACGCAGGTCACGGGGCCGCCATGCACAGCAGCGGTCTCCAGCACGCGAGTGGAGTCCACTGACACGAGCTTCACAGAGAAGTCCACGTGCCCGCCCGTGAACACAAACTTGCCGTCCGGGGAAATCGCTATGATCTCCTTTCCCCCACCGGATCCTCCTTCCCCTCCCCCTCCAACCGCGCCTGCTGCTGTTGACGTGTGCTTTATCCCCGGAGCAGGGAGGGCCACGAGGCGCGGATAGAGGGATGTCTCGCTGTTGCTGCCCTTGCCGCCCAGCGCCGCCCCCGTCAGCATCCGCAGAATGGCACTACCTGTCAGCGAAGACCGCCCGGGCTGGAACAAAAACGGCCAGCCGTGGCCGTCCGGGGTGTTCGGCTGCCACTGGTGCACCGCCACGTGGCAAGCAGGAGCATTGAGATCAACGGTGACGATGGCGTCTGAGGTGGCGACGATGCGGCTGGCGGGGACATTGAGGGTGTCGGGGCTTGGCAGCACGTAGGGCAGGATCTCATCGGGCTTGCGGAAGACGGTGTGGAGGTGCAGCGCGTAGTCCAGCGGTATGCGCCGCGGGTGCGCTGTCGTCAGCAGCTGCGAGGGCGTCTGGCCGAAGTAGGAAATCTGATCCTGCATGCCCCTCCTCACGATCTGGAGGGAGGGTGGTGGGAGGAAGGATATGAAGGGAGGTGAGAGAGGCTGGGCAAAAATCGTGCATGGTTGAGCAAGAGCGTGCTTGCGAAGGGCAGAGGAGAAAGAAAAGCAGCCAGGTGGTAGCATGCTTGCATGGCAAGGTGCTGAGTCGGCGAGTGCAAGACAGTTGGTAAATGGCTCGTGCAGACGTGATGGCTCAGACGTAAGGTGATGGCGGGTGGGCAGGGCAGAGAGCAAGAGAGCATTAGCGAGGAGAGGAGAGGAGAGGAGAGGAGGGGAGGCTGACGGGGTTGGTGATGGAGTCGATGTCAACCGCGCCCTCATACGTGACGTAGAAGAACACGTTGTGCGCCGCCAGTGCCTCCCTGCCCTTCTGCTTGTACCTGCCACGTGGGTGAGGTGAGGAGGTGCAAGAGGGGCAACCCACAGGGCAGCAGGATGCGAGCAGGGAAGAAAGGAGTAACCGACATGAGAGGCATGACCCGCTTGTGGAGGGGCGAGCAACATGTGCTGAACATGAAAGGCAGGGGAGAGTTCATGGGTGAAGTGAGAAGAGGTGGATCCAATGGTGCACTTACCCGAAGATGAGGTCGATCCAATGGTGCAGGTTGCTGCTCACATACTCGCTCTCCAGTGCCGCCCGCTGCTTGCGCACAAAGTCCGCCGCACTGCTCGCCCAGGGCGGCAGCTTCACGTCACCTGGGGGGGTGCAGTGCGGCACAATGGTGACAGGGGGGGGAGGAGGTGGGTGGGGGAGGGGGACAGGGGAGGTGACGGAAGGTTGGGGTGCGAGGGGAGGGGAGAGGGAGGTGGTGTGGAAACAACAGAAGAAACCAACCACCACCGAAAAAAAAAAAGAGGGAGTTGTGAAAGGAGATGGTGAGCAGGTGGGTGGATGGGATGGGTGCTGACCGATGACGTGGCCCTTCTGCGTGGAGCCGAGGTGCAGCCCGTTGATGTTGGTGAACATCTCCGGTAGACAGAACCACTCCGGTATCTGCCCGCACCGCGCCACGGCGCACAGAGGGGAGGGAGTCAGTGGGGGTTGGGATGAGGTGATGCTTGCTGGCATCACACATCGCAATGATAGAAGAGATAGAGGATCGCGAGCAGCACACACACACAAACGCAAGATGACTAGGATGCCGTGGTACAGGCAGCCGTGGTACAGGCAGCCGTGGTACATGCCCCTTTCTCACACACACCCCTGCCCTCACCAGCTCCTTGACATGGCTCACCAGCTCCTTGACATGGCTCACCAGCTCCTTGACATGGCTCACCAGCTCCTTGACATGGCTCACCAGCTCCTTGACATGGCTCACCAGCTCCTCGACATGGCTCACCAGCTCCTTGACATGGCTCACCAGCTCCTTGACATGGCTCACCAGCTCCTTGACATGGCTCACCAGCTCCTTGACATCGCTCATGTCGGAGGTGACTCCCCGCCACGTGGCAGCCACGTCCAGGAAGAGGCGGTCGGGGTGGTCAAACTGCCCGCCCTGCAGGGCCAGCGCGAGAGACGTGTACGGCTCCACTCGCAGCAGATAGTGCGCCACCTGGGGGGAGAAGGAGGGGGGGGGGTGGAGGGGAAAGGGGGTGGGGAAGAGCGAGGGTGAGCGCAAGGGTTTCTATAGTTGAGGGACGTTGAAGTGCAGCATGGGGGTGTGAGCGGGCATGAGCAGAGGTTATTGTGTGAGCGCGCATGAGCAGAGGTTATTGTGTGAGCGCGCATGAGCAGAGGTTATTGTGTGAGCGCGCATGAGCAGAGGTTATTGTGTGAGCGCGCATGAGCAGAGGTTATTGTGTGAGCGCGCATGAGCAGAGGTTATTGTGTGAGCGCGCATGAGCACAGGTTATTGTGTGAGCGCGCATGAGCAGAGGTTATTGTGTGAGCGCGCATGAGCACAGGTTATTGTGTGAGCGCGCATGCGCACAGGTTATAGTGTGAGCGCGCATGAGCAGAGGTTATTGTGTGAGCGCGCATGAGCAGAGGTTATTGTGTGAGCGCGCATGAGCAGAGGTTATTGTGTGAGCGCGCATGAGCAGAGGTTATTGTGTGAGCGCGGATGAGCACAGGTTATTGTGTGAGCGCGCATGAGCAGAGGTTATTGTGTGAGCGCGCATGAGCAGAGGTTATTGTGTGAGCGCGCATGAGCAGAGGTTATTGTGTGAGCGCGCATGAGCAGAGGTGATTGTGTGAGCGCGCATGAGCACAGGTTATTGTGTGAGCGCGCATGAGCAGAGGTCGGAGGGAAGCGCAGCGCGGTAGCGGGTGTCACTAGTGCGGAGGTGAGTGATGAGGTCAGCGACTGTGGCAAAGGCGGCCAGGTCAGGGAACAAGTACGGCAGCATGAGGCGGCTGAGGGCAGCAGTGGCAGGGGAGGAGTAGCGCGCGACGACAGCGTCATACAAAGACTTAGCAGTCTTGTACTGGCCAAAGTGCGTGCGCTCAGCAGACGGCAGGTGACTACGAATAGCAAGGCGAGCAACAGCGTCACGAGTAGTCCACTGCGAGGGAACCGTAATGTCAGCAGTGGCAGCAGGTGCAACAGAGGCGCCGGACGTGTGATCGAAAAGCGAGACTCCGTCCCTAGAGTCGCACTGAAGAAAGAGCTGCACGTCATCTATCCAAACGTCGAAATCGACCGCACGACCCTCAGCATCGAAGGTAAGAACAGTAGGGCTAGCCATGGCGGCAGTAGCAGCAGTGGTAGCAGTAGCAGCAGAAGCAGCTGGAACAGCGCGGGGAGGGCAGCGCAGCGCAGTAGGGCAGGGCGGCGCGGTCCAGCAGAGCGGCGCGGCTCGGCAGGGCGGCGCGGCTCGGCTGGGCGGCGCGGCTCGGCTGGGCGGCGCGGCCCGGCTGGGCGGCGCGGCTCAGCTGGGCGGCGCGGCGCGGCAGGCAGGCGGGCGCGGCGGCGCGCTTAGCAGGGCGGGCGCTTACCAGGGGTAGGTGCAGGGCAGGGCCGCGACGGGCGGTTAGGTCAGGGCCGCAACGGGGCGGCTGTAGGGCAGGGCCGCGACGAGGTGGCGGTAGAGCAGGGCCGCGACGGGGCGGCAGTAGGGCAGGGCCGCGACAAGGCGGCTGCAAAGCAGGGCCGCGACGGGGCGGCGGTAGAGCAGGGCCGCGACTAGTGGCGGCAGGGCAGGGCCGCGACGGGCGGCAAGGTCAGGGCCGCAACGGGGGGCGGCAGGGCAGGGCCGCGACGGGCGGCTAGGTCAGGCCGCGACGGGCGGCTAGGTCAGGCCGCGACGGGCGGCGACAGGGCAGGGCTGCGACGGGCGGCTAGGTCAGGGCTGCGACGGGCCGTTAGGGCAGGGCCGCAATGGGCCGGGAGGGCAGGGCTGCTACGGGCGGCAGTAGGGCAGGGCGCGGGACGGCCCAGGTGAGGCAGGCGCGAGGCGCACTTCGGGCAGGGCAGGAAAAAACAAATCGTGGTGGGCCCTAAAAAAAACGTTCCCACTTGGGAACCTGCTCTGAAACCATGTCAGAAATAGGAAAGAAGAATGACTAGAATGACAGCAGTACAGGGTTTGTATAGCAAAACCTAATTGGGCTGTACCCCATAAGGAGTGCCCCACTGCAGCCTAGAGTAGATAAATGCATAAATCAGACACAAGGACCTCAAGCAGGAGCTCCCAGAAACGTGATCGCCAACATGGCAAGAAGACGTCACCCACGTGCCGCCGAACCGGATGAGGAAGAAGAACCTCGCGGCGAGCTTATTCAACCTGAAGAAGGGTATAACAATCCCCTCACCGAAGATCACTACTACCGGTATGACGAGGACGAGCAAGATTGGCATCAGCCAATACAACTACGGGAGAGTCCACCCCACGACACTCAGCATTACGTTCCTGTGGGATGGAGAGAAGATGAGTTTTTTGAAAGGCGATACAAGGCGACTCTGGTGACACCGCGGCTCGCTCTCCTTCTGCGCAATAACAACGTCGACAACCATAACACCTGGTACCTGGATAGCTGTTGCGGGTAGCACATGGTGGGGTCTGTCTGCTACATCTCAAACATAAGCCACGCTCCAGCCACCTACGTCACCGTCGCCAACAACGAGCAACTGCGTGCAAATGCGCAAGGCATCGTGGTGTTACAAGCTCGAGACAGCAACACGCACATCACGTTCAACGACGTGCTCTACGTGCCGGACCTCTGCTTTAACCTCCCATCGGCAGGACAACTCAGAGACTGCGGAGTAATGCTCGCTACTGATCCAGACACGCGCGATCTCATCCTCACCTACGCCCCTCCAGACACGCCCGTCGAATCGCACAAATACCTCGGAAGAGCCCGCTCGCTCAACGGCATTTACGTGCTCGACTTCGATATCCCCAACTGCCAGGCATCATCCGACGAGCTCGTGGACCTCGTCCCCCTGGATTTTCCATACCTGAGCATGGAATCATGGCAGCATCCGAACGGACGACCGTGGATACGCCGCAGTCCCCACCCTGAAGAAATTAATCTTCATCAACCCGGTCCTGACGGCATCTGCACCACCTGCTTCACACCTACGGCAAGCCGCACGGACAAAATTGAGAAAAATCTGACGCCGATTCAAGAGGCGGAGAGCGCCGAGGCGGAACCTACGGGTATGACGGAAATGGAGCTCGCTGTCACTACTCACCTCATCTTCGGGGAAGAAAATGAAAATCTTGGACAACGACGACAAGAGCGCCCAACGCCCCGCACAGAAACCCTTCGATAGGTTATAGAAGCCAACATCGGAACCTTCGATGAAGAATGACGCCCGCGCCCATACACCCGCGACGTCTACCGCAAGGAGATCGACAAAGGGTGGAAAGATCCTGACGCAAAAGAAGAGCTGAGCGTCAAGGAAGAAGAAGACAAGGCAAAGGTAGAAAAGAAGCAGAAACTATATGAGGAGCGCGTAGCGGCCGGATGGGACGAGGAGTCAGCACGACGTGGCGCATGGGGAGACGACGACTACATACCAGAGGAAGGCGCAACATGGGGATCCGCAACTGGCGCATCCGGCACCGTGCGAACAGGCGGATGGGGCGATACCGGAGGATGGGGATGAGACGAATACACGGATGCTCTGCTCACCAAAGAAGAAGAAGAGGAGATAGAGCGAGAAATAGCAGCAGAACGCGGAGAACGATCGCCACGCGTCCCCATTCCGCTAGGACGCCCACCGCGCAACCTGCCGTCATCACCGCACTCACCATCATGGCGCTGGAACAGCTCCTGGTCGGAGATTGAGGAGGGGAACATGCCACCAACTCCCCCACATGACTCACTTGGCCCAATCTCCCGCTCAGATCCATTCGCCCGCCTTATCAAAGGCACGAGGACTCCGCTCAACATCATCCCCGATCGCGAATTTCTTGCGCTCTACCTCACGACGACACCTGCAGAAGGGGAGACAGCAACAGAAGCAGAAGCAGAGGAGCCGGACAACAAAGCAGAAGAAGAGGAAGAACCTCTACTCCAGATTCTGCAAGAAACAGAAGCGGAAGTGGCAGAACACTGTGCCCGTTACATGCGCACTTCCGAAATCCGCGCCGAAGATGACCTCTGGCATCAGCGACTCGGTCACCCCTCGCTCCAGACACTCAACAACTGTCTCCGCGCCAAAGTGTTCCCCCCAGGAGCACTGCTGCGCCCCGACGTCACAGAACCCCACAACACCCCACACCCAACCACCTGCACCGTTTGTCCCACAGCTGCCCTTTCTCATAGCGCCTACCCCTCTCTGGAGCCAAGCACCAACCGCTATAAGAAGCTGCAGAAGGTGTATAGCGACTTTATCGTGCTCACCTACGACGGCATCAACGGCGAGAGGTACACACTCACCTTCGTGGACGCCTACTCACGCCACGTTTGGATCGCCAACGTCGACGCTCGCTCCAAGGCTCCAGAGGTCTTCCGCATCTGGCTCGCACATGCGCAAAGACAATCGGGGAGGAAGCTAAAAATCTGGCAGAGCGACGTGGCCAATGAGTTCCGCAGCAACGAGCTGGAGAGCGTTCTCACGGAGAAGGGGATCAAGCATGAGGTTTCTCTCCCCTACGCTCACCAGCAGCAAGGCGTCATAGAGAGGGTTAACCGCACCCTCATGACAAAAGTGCCCGCCCTCATGAATCAGTCCGGCCTTCCCAAGAAATATTGGGCGTACGCCATGAACCATGCGGTGTGACTACACAACCTTCTCTCCACCACGGCCAACCGGAGCAACCTCTCCCCGCACATGAAGTGGACCGGCTCGAAGGTAGATCCCTCCATGCTGAGGGTTTGGGGGTGTATGGTGCAGTACCGGCCAACGACCGTGACAACCGGCAAGTTCACTCACCGTGCGCGCTGGGGAGTCCATCTGGGACTCAGTAACGAGTACAAGGGTTGGCTCATTCTTGACATTGACAGCAAGCAGATTGTCCCCGCTCGTGATGTTCTCCTCTATGAGCGACTCACCTTGCAGCAGTGGATTGGCGACGAACGTCGCAACGAAGCACGCGGCTACGTCAACAGCGGCCGCAGCTTCGCATCCCCAGAAGACGAGGCAGCAGCGGCAGCACTCGACCGCGATCCCGCCGACGAACATCCCGGCGTTCCGCCTTGCCTGCGCGACGACGACGACGATGATGACAACGACACACCCGCGCAAGGACCATCGCGTCGCCA